CAGCGCTGTTACTCGATGTCAAACTATCGTACCAACGGTTTAACAAAAATGTACTGAATTTCGCTGCAGTGTACTAAATAGATATTTCAATTCTAAATTGACTTAGTAATAAAATTTTTTTTTTCGTTAATTCAGGAAGAAAATGACCGATTGTGTTATTTTGGAAATATCTACTATCTAGGGAATTTCATGTCATATAATGTGGTGGTAGGTACTACCTAACAATGAAAAACTTCCCATTTGTTGATACATTTATTTTAGAAAAACATTTTGGTATTAATTCAATATATTGTTTTGTTAACAAATTTTGTAAGTTCTAGGATCCCACAACATAGTTGATCCAGATTGTTTTACTGATATTTGAAGATGCAAAATTGCTTCAACAGTTTCCACTAATAATGAATTTCTAATATCGGTTTTAATTAGGAACATCTGAGAGAAAACTCGTTCCACCGTTGCAGAAGAGTGAGGTGTAATTAAACCTACAGTTACCAATTCCATTAAATTTCCATATATAGGCTCACCTAATTCGTTTTTTGTTACATTAACAGCGGACCAAAATTCTTCTAAATTATGGGAATGTTTGTGCAACTCTTTTGATTCACTAAGCAATTGCCATTCCTGGTTTACAATGTCATAATTCAGGTTAATGTCTGGAAACAAAGTGAATCCTTCAGTTAATGATAATTTTGATAATGCAACTTTAGGTACAAAGTTACTAATAAAATTTAAATGTTTGTCCTTAAAATTAAACCTTCTTCTAATTTCTGTACATAATTCTATATAAAAATCTAAACATCTTAATCTAAAGGAATGCAAATCATTATTAGTAATATCATTTTCATTGAGATTTGACAGATATAGTTCAGCATTTGCACCAAAATAAATCGACTTAATATCAATATAACTACTTGGCTTTTTTATGTCGATATCGATTATTTCTTGCCTATCCAAAATCTCTTTTTTAATAAAATATTTGAGAATCGTTTTATATAAAGTGCGTAGTTCCTCCAACAATATAGGTGCCTTAGGTTTCTCACTTTGCAAATCTAGATTTACCTTATTAATCAATGAAAGAATATGTGACAAAAATAACAAATATAATTTATAAATTGGATTCCTAAGGGCATTTAATATTGCCTTTGCTGTTGGCAAATTATCTTCCAAAGAAGCACGTTGGAAGTATAAATTTAAAGGATTCCATTGCTCCAATATTCGATCAACCACTGCCTAAAATGATAACGTTAATTAATATGAGAATAGCATCGATTTAACTGTAAAACAAACCTGCAATGATAACCATCTGGTTTGACTGGGGCGTAAAATTTTGTGTGGTTTTTCATTGGCAAATACTTGGCACTCTTTTAGCTCATTTAGCCTCTTTGATGAATGTGCAAAATAAGCATAAATGTCTCTCGTAAATTGCTCAATTGTACTTGGCAACTTTTTTGTAGCTTGGCTAGTACATAAGTGCAACGAGTGACAACTGCAACCAATTACAACTATGTTTGGACATAGGGTTCTTAGAAGTGCTTGTACACCATTTATACTTCCTTGCATCACTGCAGCGTTATCGGCTCCAAAAGCTACCAAGTTTTTGTATGGGATACGTGAAGTGTCCATAATGTCTTTTAACACATTAAATATGGATTGTGCAGTTGAGCTTTCCAATTCAACCAGTCCCAAAAAATTATCCACAACTTTATTATTTTTCCAGTATCGGCAAACAATTGCCAAGTTTTTTTTTGTCGACACATCTGTGGATTCGTCGATGATTATGGAAAACTTTCTTGTTTTTAAATCATTGATGAGGTCTTGTCTAAGCAATGGAGCAATTTTCTTTACAATTATTTCCGTACATTTATTCCTTTTAATTTTTAATGATTTGGCAATTGTAGAATCCGGAAAAATATCTTGGCATAATTGAGGCAAAGTATCCATTAACGATAAGGGTAAATTGTGCTCGGCAATGTAAGCACACAGTTTTACTTCTGCATAAGATATTTTTTTGCTCAAGTGAACCTCATCTTCATTTGGTATTAATAATGATGTAATTTGCGGAGTCTTCTTTGCAGCCTTATATTTCGTTACATGTGATGTACTTGTCTCGTGACGCCTAAGATGACAAACATTTCCATTAATATGCATGGCACAAACTTTACAGTAATTCTTGCCATCCTTAAGCTCGAGCCACAAAAATTCTTTCAACCACTCTGATCGGAACTTCTGCTTGTAACTTTTTTTCTTTTGTCTGTGATGGTCTTCATTAACTATTGTTTCCTCGATTGTTTCTGACTCTGATATGACATCCACATCACCAGGATCTCTATCACGGGACGTAGATGTGGAAGCTACAGGTGCAGTGTTACCGTTACCAGCACTAGGCGGCTCATTTGACACAGATGAATCTCTGTTTCTTTTATTTTTTACCACAAACCTATAAGTTGTATTAAAAGACTAAGTAATTTATTTTTTTTTCATACTTACTTGTCCATTTCAAACAAAAATCTAACCAACTGCGTGCTGCGCCCACTTCCGTAAGTAGGTACGAAAATAAATAAGAAACTTAATAATAAACAAATTTGAAAACACTGACTGGTTCAAACGGGTTGCGATTCGCGGCAATCTAATAAGCGGTCTGGGTGTAGAAAAGCGCAAGGTAAGTATTGCGGACAGCGAGATAGTGTCGTACTCTGTTTTTCTCATTATAGAGATAAGAATTAACTGATGAGTCATGGCAAAGAAGTAAACAGGTCTGTAGACTGTATAATATTAATAGGTATCATAAATTTTGACGTGAACGGTGAAAGGAGGACCTTCTGTTGTTCTTAGTGCAATAAAATGCTTCAGGCGATTCTAAAATTAGTGTATTTGTTTGCACCCCTAACTGTAAAATTATTTGATCCCAAAGCGTACTAGATTTGTTAAAGGAGTACTAGCGTACTAAGTGTACTTAGAATGTACTATATTTAGTACAATTGTACTAGCAATCACAGCCCTGCTTCGGATGAAATGAATTTATTTCTATATGCATAGGTGCCATACACGTGACCGTACAAAATAGGATAAGATGGACGATATCCTCAAAGAATTGGAGTGTGAGGAGTTAATAGAAACATTTAAAAGTAAGTTATCTTTGTAACGTTTCACCGGAAATTACTCTGGTACCCACTGAATTTTCAAATGGAACAACTACCTAATATATTTTTTACATTTTTGGATTTCTGTTTTTACACCACTTCACACACAATGCAACGATAATAATTTATTTTTGGATTAACAAAGTAAACTAATAGTACATTATATATCAAGGTAGAGAAGTACAGTATTATTGCCTGAGCACCAAGATTACATCTCGAGGCGCTTGCGCCGAGGGGTGTAAGGTGCGAAGGCAATAATAGATTTCTCTACCGTGGTATATATACTATTTTTTTCACTACTAGCACTTGAAGTCCTCTAAATTAACATATTATATTGATAAGAAAGTGAACGGTTGGACAGAATTGTTTGTTTCTTAATTTAACATGTCAATCAAGTACGTGGAAGTACAAGTCAAACAGGCCGTATTTTGTTCTGTCATTGAGATATTTTCAAAGAGTAATTTCGTTCGATTTTTTTCAAAATGTGATAATTTTAGGTATGTAATTTCTCTGGAAATGGCGATGGTGGCAATTATTCATTTTAGAGAACTTGTCTAAACGTTTATTGAGCGAAATTTCGGGTTGTGTTTTCTAAAAGTGACAGCGTGACAGTTCTGATTATTGACTACTAGTTAATAATGTCCACATTATTAACAACTTTGAACAAATGCCGAGAAAGCCTACTTTACAAGTGGAAAAAAGGTTAATAATCATGTCATCAGACGCTAGTAGTGAAAAAACAATATTATTTCCTTTAATTTAATTTAAACATAAAAAATGTCACATTCTCATACAAAATAGTCTCAGAAATGATCAGAGAGTGAAAAATAAGAGAAAATCTCATACAATTTGCTTTACCTTATAGTACCTATTATATGCTTTTCTGGGTGTACAAGGCATCTCTCCTAAAACTACCATTTTTGGGGGATACGCCCAGAAAACCTGTCTCTTTTCGTCAGGGAATCTCATATTCAACCGTTATAGTAACTTCTTAAAACTTGGTCTATAAATACAAAACTATCATCTGTACATTTTGAAACAATTAAATTTAGTGCGTAATAACTTCGTGATATTCTACGTAATGGTATTATTTCAGATAATCATATAGATTTCGATACATTTAAACTTCTGAATACGGAAGAACTACGAGAATTAGTGCCATCAATAGGGCTCCGCAAAAAGCTGCAAATAAAAATTCATCAATTAGCGATTAATGATGCGGTAAAACTTTAAATCTTTAATTCCATAAATTAGCCTAATGCAGTAAATATTTTAATTTTAGGTAATTTGTATTGAATCTGCACCCGCACCTGACATAACCAGTATTGAAAGTTTGCCATCGACTGAAACTTTACTATCAGATGATACAGCCGCTGTGGATGAGTTTTTAGTATACCAAAACCCTCAAATTGATTTATTTGAAAGAGTGTCAAAACCATTACTACCAGAGTTTGATTTACGGACACTTCTACAAACCAGCCCTTTAGGAAGTAGCATTCTGAATTACTATGCTGCACATAAACAACTAGACAATACTCAACGTAGTCGTCTGGTAGACATAATAACCAAGCATCTATATACGCACATTATCAACTAGTACGTTCACAAAATCAAGATTGTACATGAAAGTTAAAATGTAACATTTTTCAGTCGCTTGAAAGGAGATGATTACATATTACTGGCAGCGAAAATAATATCCTTGTTTCCCACAGAGGCAACAGGGACATATTATGTATCACCAATAAAAAAAAATCAATCTAGAACGGGTAAATCAATTGCTGCGAAGGGTAGATTGGTTTCCAAAGTGTCCAATCTCGTCAGTATATGCGGGGAAGCTTCCCCTGTGAGAAAACGAAAGGCCGGACAGAATTGTAGTGAGGAGAATGTTTTTAAGCGACCCACTCCCATACAAGAAAATTTAGGTGAACAACTGCATTTATTGATTTTTGTATAGGTACCATGATCCGATTTTTAGAAAATCACGAAGATATCGTGTGGCTAAAACACAACACTGAACCGTGGGATGTGGTGGTAGAGAAATGGTCCACAACGTTTGGCATTCGACGAAACACTGAACGTGACGCACCAGGTACCGTTGCTGATTTCATAAATAGGTGGCCCATTTTGAAGGACCTCAGATCAGATGTTTTAGTAAGTAGAAAATATTTTACTAAATGATTTGTTTTTAATGTGTATATTAAATCTGGTTTAATTGAATTTCGAGAGTGAAACCTATATGTATCACTATTTGGCTCGGTTGCAATTTATTCAACCCTTGGTTGAGGTGTTGATGGTAGGATTCTGGAATTTACTATTTTCGAGTAGATTTGAATTGAGATTTAGATGTGAGACTTATGCTGTCTAGTCTGAAATCTGATTGTGTCTGGATGGGCTAAAAGACGCCTATTTTTTTAACGAAATTTTATTTTTTACATATACCTACTTTTGCAGATTAATCAAGATTTTGATGCGTTATACCCCGGTTGTGGTCTGAAATTTTATATGAAATGGCAACAATTTTTTACAACTGTTCTACACCTCCATGAAAATAATGTCAGAGACAATGACGCTTTAAATTTGCTTAAAGAATGGAAAGCAGATCAAAGTGAAGGTGAGTACTAAGTAATATTGATAGTTTTGTGGAAGTTCAAAAAAACTATCGTAATCTTGACAACCCACCTTAGCATGTCTTGGATTTGGGTTGTTGAAAAAAATCTTCAATACTTCATTACTTAGTTTTCAATGTAAAAAATCAAAACGAAAATTCATAATGTATGTTTTTTTCAAAATGTACTATATACTCTTCCAAACCGTATGTCTACTATACATTAACCGAGATTCCCTCGTTTAAGTTGTAGGTGTATAGGTATATCAAGCACTGTTTGAATGCACATTTATTTTTATTGTTAGATTAAATTAGCATTAAGTGTATTATGGAGGGTTCGGAATGTTGTAAAATACCTATATAACATGTGTTTCGTATTTCAGATGGAAAGTTATTACTAGAGTTAAATTTATTGCCATACCTGATTCCTCCAAAGGGTAGAGTAGTAATAGAAAAACGGAAGCACTGGAAATTTTCAATCCTAGAAGTATTAGAGTCTATAATTATCCATGTCATCGTAAGTATCTCTCATTATACGAGTATAGCTCACAAGTGTACCATTAATCAATTAAGGTATTAATTTTTTTATTTATAGGCACCCGGCGATATTGAAAAATCAATTTCTTCTCAAAAAGAAAAGGCATTTCAACATAAACAGACCGTGCAGCCCTATATTTTGGTACAAGGATCATCATTGGTGAATATAAGTTGTATTTATGTAGTAATAGATACTCTGAAGTATCAATATGACAGTGTTTCAAAGGGTTTTGACACATTATTCAAATTATTCCACACATTTAATGCACAATACCCGGTACAGTCAGAATACATTTATACATTAATTCAGAAGTGTATATATAACATTCATACACCATATGACAAAACTACACCAACCACTGAATTGGTTATTAATACATTTTTGAAGGGCATTGAAACGTAAATCTATTCGTTATGAAGTGCGTAGATTGTGGTCGCGTATTTTTGAATTTCAAAAAATACATTTTTCATGTTACATATTTACATAATAAAAATAATTACTTCCTATGCCCATTCCCTAATTGTACTAGACTATACAACAAGAAAAGTGATTTTAAAAAGCATGTACATACAAAACATAATTCAGATAAAAGTAATAGTGAAGCTAACAATGTCCTATGTGATAGAGATGAAAAAATCTGTTCAAACGTAGATGATACCATTAGTATTTCATTAAAGTTACCTACCACGCTCACTGATACATGCTCGGATACATCCGAGGATTCATCTCACAATGTTCCGATTGCCTGTCAAATTAAACAAAAGCTCGAAGATTTTAAAACTGTTTTTAACAAATCATTACCGTTGCTCATTTCAAAATTTTATGACAATTTAAATTTAACTAGATCTACGATACAAAAAATAATTGAGGACTTTAATGAATTCCTATCCTGTGGCTTGGTTAAAATCATAAAGGAATGTATTGACATAGTTTGTCAAGACGTAATTGAAGATAGTGTTCTAAAATATGTATTCACAATGCTGGAAATTATAGAAAAGCCTTTTACTAGTTTAAATTCAGAATTTAAACGCGTTCAATATTTTGAACAGTCCCAATATTTTATAAAACCAGTTGAACATAAAATTGGTGTTTCGCAAGTCCCACACAAAACCAACGGCCAAGTTGTATTAGAATTAAAAAATGATTTTAGTTATTATATTCCCATGAATAAGACCTTAAAATCATTTTTGGAGGTACCTCTGGTTTACCAAACAATAATAGATTATCAAAACAGTCTAATGGACAGCTATGATTATTCTGGACAGGAACCCATGTATAATATTGTTAACGGAAGCATATGGAGAAGTGAAAGTGATACCAATAAAATTATTTTGCCAATAGTATTATACTTCGATGATTTTGAGACGGGTAACCCACTCGGCAGTCATGCTGGTTGCAATAAATTAGGAGCATTGTATTTTACCATTTCCACCATACCTCCTTCTTATTGTGCTCGACTAGAAAACATTTTTCTTTGCTACCTATTTTATAGCTCTAGTAGAGCACAGCGTGGAAATGCAATTCTATTCGATAAAATAGTCGAGGAAATTATATGTCTTGAACGTGATGGTATTGTTATTAATATTAGCGCTGGTCAACAGAAAGTGTATTTCAAACTAGCTTGTATCACAGGAGATAATTTGGGCTTGCACACAATTTTCGGTTTTAATGAGAGTTTTTCATCTACCTATTTTTGTAGATTTTGCATTACACTAAAATCTAATAGCACAACCCAGACCCAGGAAGACGAAAATCTAGTGAGATATAAAAAAGATTATGACATACATTTGAATGAACGAGTAGGATTGAAGGAAACCTGTGTATGGCATAGATTACCAAATTTTCACATTTACACTAATATGGTTTGTGATATAATGCATGACATCTATGAAGGTGTCCTGCGTTATGACATGGCCTTGATTATCCAGGACTTAATAGGTAGTCATTGCTTCAGCTTGGAACATTTAAATTCGAGAATTAAATATTGCACATACGAAAAGTGGGAAAGAAACGTACCACCTAGTCTTAAGAAAGAACATATAGCAAATGGGTGTATAATATTATCTGCCGCGGAAATGTTATGCTTGACCCGAAATTTCCGGTTCATAATAGGAGATTTAGTTAGCGCTGAAAATAGAACCTGGAAATTTTACATAATTTTACTAGGGATTGTAGATATTGTCACTTCCACCATTATGTCGTCAAGCACCTTAGAATTACTGAAGAGTCTAATATCAGAGCACCATGAACTTTATATAGAATTATTTAAAAGAACATTAAAACCAAAACATCATTTTCTAGTACACTATATGCGAATTATGAAAATAATGGGTCCGGTTTCGCATTTGTCTTGCATGCGATTCGAAGCAAAACACAAGGAAATGAAAAACATTGCATATAATGTTAGAAATACAAAGAATGTTCCGTATACTCTAGCGTTTCGAGCACAACTTAAACATTGCTATAGATTTTTGGCAAAAAGAGGATTTAACAATGAAACGAATTTTTCATCTCCAAGGAAGGTAAAAGATGAAGACTTAGTGGTGTTGGAAAGAAATGGTTTAAATCCTCAGGACTATTGCTGTGTTACATGGTACGAAAACAATGGTATCAGATACGATTTGAACAGTGTGTTGGTAACCAAAGATGGCGCAGAAGGCTGTTGCCCTCAATTTGCAAAGATTTCTAATATTTTTGTAAACTTATCGAACAATTTGCTTGTTTCTTTTTTGGGCACTTTATTGGATGTAGTTGAATATAATAATCATTATAAAGCTTACAAAGTTAAAATATCCGACAAAAACGTCACCTTTGTACATTTAGACACAAAGCATGGAGATATGCCAACCATAATCCACCATATTCAAAATGAATTTTACGTTTCATCTATAATGTGACATGTTGCCATCAGCAATTGTATTTTTTGATATTATTAATATTAGTTGTCATATTAATTATAAATTATATATATTGTATTAATATTATCCTAATAAAACATTTTATATTTGAACATCAGAATTTTTCCGGACGAACCTCGTACTATATCCCCTCTCATATCAAACTTAAAATGAGATTATAACAAATACAAAAACTATTGGAATGAAATAAAGAAACTCTTTGACTCAAGTATACCATAGATTTCATGTATTGATTAATGTATTTCACTTGAGCAAACAATTTGTTTCTTGCAAATAAAGCGCATAATTGAAATAAAAAATAACAATTTCTTCAAATTAAATATATCATTGGTTCCTTTATATTGATTACAGCGTATACTTAAAATTCAAGTAACACATACACTTAATATTGAATATCATATGTTTAACCGAAACAAACCATATCGTTAGTTTATGAAATTATGATTTAGTTACTATGAATATGTGAGTTACTTGCTTATATACGAACATACCTTAAACTTAAATGAAAGCAGTTATATTTGTTTTCAGCATTTACTTTTTTGTGTGTACACTAAAAAGAAAATTATAAGGTGCAACACTAGTGTTATTTCGGTGTGAGAATTGGCGTAAAAAATTACAAGCCGGCAGCGTTTCTTCCGGTATCAATTAGAGAACTGAAAAATATAAATAGATTACAATAAAAAAAACTTGCAATAACTATACTAATGCTGTAATGGAATTTGGAAGCAGTATTATAGTTATATGTAATGAAATTATCAATTCACATCCGTTTTTAACATTAGGTACACAGTGTCCCATACTTTTTACGAGGTCTCCGTGCTGAGATCTTTCGGAAGGATGGATTTTTGTGACTTATACGCGCATAACTTCAGAGCGATTGCGCCAAATTATATAATTCTTTTTTTGTTGTGTTTGTTATTATCAGGACAAAGTCTGTATAAAAGATAATTTAAAAAAAAAATTACCTACAGAAAGACGTAAAAAACAATTTTTCTTATTTCTGCCATATTAAATCACAATATAATTAATAGATGGCGCCAAAAAACAATTTTTCTCTTTTCCGTCATTTTAAATCGCAATGTAACT